CGAGAAATTTTATTCAAATTTTTGAAATAATATTTTTTTTTAATTTGGTGAAAAAGTTTCCGGTTTGACATAAAATTCCTCGCTTATTCCCGATTTTTCCAGGTCAAATTAAATTCCCTGTTTTCCCGGTTAGTAGATTATTTTTTTTTTTTGCATTATTTTTTTCAACAATGAAAAAATGAGTAATTTACAATTATTTTTCTCTATTTTAATGTTTTGTTTTTTATTATTTTTAAATTGTACACTCGTGAATTATAAAACTGAAAATAATTGAATTTAATTCAAGCTCATTTCAACTTCTCACAATAATCATACAGCATGAAATTGTTTTAACGGAACAATCATTTCGAGTTGAAGAATTCAAGTTCTCTCCGTTGCTTTCGAAATTCAAATAATGCAATTTCCGAAATACTTGAGAGAGTGAGAGAGAGAGAGAGTTTAATGGCAATGAAGTTGTTTTCACGAATTTTCGCTTTTTATGAATGTTAATTAAGGCACACTTCCGTCAGACTAATCGACGCCGATGCTGCTTATATATTTTATATAACTATAGATGTATATATTTCGAGGAATTAATTTTCAAGTTTCATATTACTTCTCTACACAAGACTTTTGAAAACTCCATAATTATCCAATTAAACTTGTGAGTAAAAACGAAACTAAATTTATCTAAACTGAAGTAATAGTTTTATCGTTTCTGACTTAAATTGGGTCATGAAGGTATATAAAAAGGAAGGGGGAGAAAAATACGGAAAGAAAAGAAAATTGTCTCGGTAATATGTAATTAAGTTGAATTAATTAAACTTTTAATTGACAGCTCGTAACCTTATCATTTAACGAGAGCTAACAACATTTTTGCTGTTTTTTTTTCTTTTCTTTTCTTTTTTTTTTTGTTAAACGAAAGTTGTTCTGCAATACGAGTTCGATATATTTATAAATATAAATTGTGACACTATCTATCTACTGTAAAATTATGGAATGCAATAAATCAATGAAAATGATATTTTTGCAAAAGATATTTCTCGTTTTCAGTTATAAATTTATTTCTCTATATATTTTGATTTTTGTCCCCTTCTCTTTATTTACAGGCCTTGGATTTAATTTAGAGCGCAAAAATATGCTTTAGTCGATTAAAACTACAAAAATATCAAAAAAGTTTGTTACTTAAATATTTAAATTTAAATATACCTACTTATTTACTTTTCTGCAAAAATTAAAATTTTTAAATTTCAATTCTAAACCTGAGATTTATTTCCTTCCACAATTTAATTATATTACAGAATTTTTAACTGAACTTCTTTCTAAAATCAATTATATTTTCAATAATTTTTCGAAATCTCTTCGAGAATTCAATTATTTCAATTTCAATTAAACTTCAATTTTTGTATATTGAAAATAATTGATTTTTGAAAAATTATAATAAAAAAATTACAGAATTTTAAACTAAATTTCTTTCTGAAATCAATTATATTTTCAATAATTTTCCGAAATCTCTTCGAAAATTCAATTATTTCAATTTGAATTTAAATTTAATTTTTGTATATTGAAAATAATTGATTTTTAAAAAATTATAATAAAAAAATAACACAATTTTTAACTAAATTTCTTTCCGAAATCACTTATATTTTCAATAAATATAACATTTCTTTGAAATTTCCGACATTTCTTTGAAAATTCAATTAGTTAAATTTAAATTGAAATTCAATTTTTGTATGTTGAAAATAATTGATTTTTAAAAAATTATAATGAAAAAATTCTCAAAATTAGTTTATTAAAAATATTTTTATATAATTTTTGAAAGAAAATAGATTTTTTAATAAAAAGAATTAAAAAATTTACAAATAATTCAAAAATTTTCTAAAATAATAGAGCTTAATAGAATCTTGGGAAAATATTAAAAAATAATCAATTTTTTGAACAAATAAATTTGAAAATTTAAGAATTATAATTCATTTCACAAAATTTTTAATAATAATCATAAAAACTAGATTTTTTAATTATGTATAGAATAGAAAAAAATTAACAAATAATGAAAACATTTTTTATAATTGAATTTTTTTAAAAAAATTGTCGCAAAATATTAGAAAGAAACAATTTTTTTTTTGAAGAATTTTAATAACTTTTGAAAGATTTGATTTTTTATTTTATTTTCACTTTGATTAATTTCCCTGAAATTTTATTCTTAAATATTAGATTTTAAAAAAAAATGTCACGTAATTTTTGTTAGATAGTTGAATTTCCAAAAATAGGTAATTGAAAATTTGAAGAATAATTAAATTTTAAAAAAATTATAACGCAAATATGAAAAGAATTATTTTTTTAAAAAATATTTTAATATAATTATTTGAAGCTAATCTCCATTGATTTTCTTTTCCAAATTTTCAATTAAAATTTTTAAGAATTCTATTATTTTCAAAATTTACTATTAAAATTCTTTGAAATTTGATTTTAAAAAATTTTAATAAAATATACAGAATATAAAAATTATACTTTTTCTATTTTTGATATTGGAGTGGTTTTTAATGTATTTTTTTATCTAAGAACGATTCCGAGTTTCAAAATTGTATAGCTCGTAAGGTTTTCGAGAAAAGTGAACAAAAAAAAGTGGGGGTAAAAACTCAAAAAAAATTTTTTTATTGTTATTTTTGATATCGGAGTCATTTCCAACTTAATTTTGTTCACTGAAAACGATCCTGGGCCCCAAAATTGCCTAGCACGTTAGGATTTTGAAAAAAGTGGGGGTAAAGACCAAAAAAAATTTTTTTTCTTGTTATTTTTTATACCGGAGTCATTTTCAATGTAATTTTGTTCACTAAAAACGAT